GTATTAAAGAATGTGTTGCTGACACAAAGACCATAATAACAGCAAAACTCCAGCAAGCGTTGGCCATTTTCGTTCATCTTTTCAATGCCAAAACAGCCTAGACAAGTGAGCCAAGAATTGTGATCAGCACCAACTCTTGCGTTAAAGTCTCCGAGAATTAACAGTGGTTCTCTCTCAGGGACTTTTTTGATAGTAGCTGCCAGATCATTGTAGAATTTGTCTTTCACTTCTGTTGTGGACAACAGTGTTGGTGCATATGCACTAATGAGGGTGACCAGTCCCACTGATGAATGGAGCTGCAGAAACAGGATTCTTTCATTCCCCACTGTAGGTGGAACGATGGATCTCAGCAGAGCATTTCTGACTCCAAAGCCAACACCATATTCCCTGGTCTCATTCAGTGATTTTCCCTGCCAAAAAAATAAGAAATTTTTCCTTTGACAGATTCTATGTCTGGCAATTTCATATCTTGCAGGGCAACAGTGTCCATCTGCAGCCTTCTCAGTTCCATGTCGATGACAGCTGTCTTGCGCACATCATCTATTTACTGCAGGTCATCAGAAAAGCCAGGGGTCATTGTCCAAACATTCCAGGTGCCCAACTTTAGGGCAGAAGTTTTCTTATGATCGTTGCATGGTGCAGGATTATCGATCTGCTTGTCAGCTTTCACCCTAAACCCCATGCACCCCATGAGGTTAACAAACCATGGCGAGGTAGCACCTTACTGGCTGGGGACTGATCAGCTTAAGGCAGGCAGTAGCTACTTAGTGAGATGCAATAACCTCTCCCACCATCGGAAGTAGCACCTGGTGTCATGCTCTACGGCAATCAAGCAAAAACTTATAACCTGCAACTGCTACTTCCCATGTTATTGTTGGCGTGGGGTCAACTCCAGAGGCTTGCTATGGCATTTGCCTCTACAGAAGCTTGGAGTCAGATTAGATAATGAAGCTTCTAAGAGCACTCTGTTAGGGAAAAACAAACCTTGGAACCAAGATAACAAGTTACACAGAGCCTCTTATCTGTTCGCTTCATATCCTCCCCTTCATAAGCAGAGTAAAGATGCAGACATGTAAGAAAATGCATGGAGAGTGTTCTATAAGACTTATAACATATTAGACTTGGTCAGACATATATACATGGCAACATATACATTGGGATAGACATCTCAGAGCAACATTACATTTCACATTCAAGTAAAGTCACTACCAGACTCACAACTGAGTGGCAAAGTACTGTTCTGACTCTTTTGATCAAATAGATGAGAGCATCCTATCACTGCAGACATGGCAGGTGAACATGGTTGACAAGCATTACCTAAGCTTGTCCCATCTGTATGGTATCAATCATCCATTGACTTGATGTTACAGGCATGACTTTGCATTCTTTACTACAATATTAAATTTAACCCCTTGTTCACTTAAAGGAACAAATCCTGACAGTTATTTGAATGCTGTATGCGAAGCTGGAGTGTTCTCTCCAGAGCACAAAGCCTGGACAAAATAATATGGAGGATAGGCTGTTACCCAAGCATCGAATCCCTCCTCCCCACATCACTGAAATAGTCCAATGGAAAGGCAAGAGCCAATACAAATGGTTGCAGCAACGTCGCAGGAGTTGTCATAATGGCACAAACAGTCTCTGGGACTCCGGATTTTGCCTTGATGTTAACTCCTGAAGACTTTTCCATCAGTAGATATAGCCACAAGGTAGTGGAGGTTTGAGTTTTCCTTCTCCTAGATGGGCTGCCTTTCAAGGCTGACAAGCCCCAACTACCCGGACTGTTTCCTTCTGCCTCCTCTGCAGGAAAAGGGGAATAAATGTCTAATCCCACAATAAAATGCTGCTTTGCGATTTTTTCTTAAATGCTCTCTAGCCACTTAGAGTGGTCGTTTGACCAGATAGGTGGGGTACAAATACAATCAATGAATCAATCAATCAATCAATCAATCAACAAACAAATAATCCTTCCTTGAATTCCTTGAGTCAACCACCAATATTTATACAGTGGTGCCTCAACCTACAACCGTCCCTACTTACAACCATTTTGATTATGACCAGCTCCGGCCGCAAAACAGCCCTGAAATTAAAAGACGCCTTCTTCTTGGGAGGAAAGGGATGACAAATCTTGACAGCATCTTGAAAAGCAGAGACATCACCTTGCCGACAAAAGTCCGAATAGTCAAAGCTATGGTTTTTCCTGTTGTGATGTATGGAAGTGAGAGCTGGACCATAAAGAAAGCAGACCGCCGAAGAATTGATGCCTTTGAATTGTGGTGCTGGAGGAGGCTCTTGAGAATCCCCTGGACTGCAAAGAGAACAAACCTATCAATTCTAAAGGAAATCAACCCTGAGTGCTCACTGGAAGGACAGATCCTGAAGCTGAGGCTCCAGTACTTTGGCCATCTCATGAGAAGAAAAGAGTCCTTGGAAAAAACCTTGATGTTAGGAAGGTGTGATGGCAAGAGGAGAAGGGGACGACCGAGGATGAGATGGCTGGACAGTGTCTGCGAAGCAAACAACATGAACCTGACACAACTCCGGGAGGCAGTAGAAGACAGGAGGGCCTGGCGTGCTCTGGTGCATGGGGTCACAAAGAGTCGGACACGACTAAACGACTAAACACATGTAATATTGAAATGGTCTGTTGACTTATTCAATAAAAATGTGTGATGATGATGGTGACTTTCATTGATGACCATTCAAGATACCGTGTGATTGACCTACTCAAAGAACATCTGAGACCTTTGATGCAATGAAGGCATATGTTTAGATGGTGAAGAACAAGTTCAATAGGAAGCCTCAGATTGTGAGATCAAGCAATGGGCATGAGTATTGTTTAGTTGTTTAGTTGTTTAGTTGTACTGTATCTGACACTTTGTGACACCATGGACCAGAGCACACCAGGCCCTCCTGTCTTCGGGGGGGGGGAGTATATCTCACAGCATATGAAGACTTACTTCAAAGAGCAAGGAATTCATCAACACACAGTGGCATACACTCCTGGACAGAACAGTGTGGCAGAGAGAAAGAATCGGTCAACCATGGACATGGTCAGGTGCATGCTCATTGAAGCAAAACTACCTCGTAAATACTGGGTAAATGCAACATTGACAGTCGTCTATCTGCAGAACAGATTGCTGACCAAGGTAAAGGTTTCCCTTGACATTTTTAGTCCAGTCGTGTCTAGGGGGCGGTGCTCAGTCCGTTTTTCAAGCCATAGAACCAGTTCTTGTCCGAAGACAGTTTCTATTGTCACGTGGCCAACATGACTAAGGAACACCGTTATACCTTCCCACCGAGGTGGTACCTATTTATCTACTCGCATCTGCATGGTTTCAAACTGCTAGGTGGGCGAGGAGCTGGGACAAAGCAATGAGAGCTCACTCCGTCATGTGGATTCAATCTTACGACTGCTGGTCTTCTGACCCTGCAGCACAGGCTCACAGCGCCGACCAAAGCAGTCAACAAAACATCATTTGAACTCTGGCATTGTCACGTTCCCACCTGCCCCTTGGTTGTCTCACCAAGCAAGAGCCCAAGCTACGTGCCGTTCTGCTGGCACCAGTTGATTACATCAACATTGTTTATTCACAGAGGTTCAGGCAATCTGTCATTTTCAAAAGAACCAAATAGAAATTGCTTCTTGTTACAGGTGATGAAGGCACAATCAATGCCATTAACTCTTAACAGAACACCCAACTTCATCCACTCACAACTGCCCACTCCCTCTCTCTCTCTCCTCCAAACTCCAAATACCAATCCTCTTTTCTAAATTCTCCAACTCCAATTCTCAGTAATCTCCCCCCCTCTTCCTACATGCAAATAGTTTATATTCAATATTCAAGACCCGGGCGGATGCCAGAGCAGGCTGTTCAGTGCAGTTATGGTGGCCTACTAAATAGCTCTGAGTGAATCTCTGAGCAACTATTCAGTAGAACAGTACAGTGGTACGTCGCAAGACGAATGCCTCGCAGGACAAAAAACTCACAAGATGAATGGTTTTGGCAATGGGGTTGATGACTCGCATTTATATTCAATATTCAAGACCCGGGCGGATGCCAGAGCAGGCTGTTCAGTGCAGTTATGGTGGCCTACTAAATAGCTCTGAGTGAATCTCTGAGCAACTATTCAGTAGAACAGTACAGTGGTACGTCGCAAGACGAATGCCTCGCAGGACAAAAAACTCACAAGATGAATGGTTTTGGCAATGGGGTTGATGACTCGCAAGATGAATGTTCCTATGGCTGTGCTTCGCAAGATGAATTAAAGTTTTTTTATTGCAATTTTTAAAATCATCTGCATGATATGTATGGCCTTAAAGAGCACTTAATAAACCCTTTGTAAACCAAATTTGACTTTGTTCTGACTTTTTTTGCCCATAGGAACACATTAATTAGATTTCAATGCATTCCTATGGGAAAATGCATTTCGCAAGATGAATTTTTCGCAAGACAATGTTAACCGTGGAACGAATTAAATTCGACTTGCGAGGCACCACTGTACGCTGATTGCAGTAAGAGAGATTTAACCACATTTTTATCTCACTGAAATCTATGCAATGTCAAAGGGGTTAATAAGATATGACATAATGCCATCTCTTATGGAATACCTTCTTCACCCTATAAGGCTAATTCTGATGTCTCTTTTTGACACAATTCCAGTTACGGTGGATCTCTCCCTCTAAAAGGTTAAGCTGATCCCATCCCATTGTTTAGTTACTCATTATTTGATAGGACATTTTATGAAAAAAGCTTTAAAATTGTACATTTATGTAGGTCTTCTGTCTTAAAAAGTGTATATCTATATAAAATTATAAATAATGTTATAATTAAATAAACAAGTAAACTTACACATAATGACAGCTTGTACTGCCAAGAAAACAAGGAAGATGGTGATTACTATGGCCAGAAATAGACCCAGTGGAGTTTGAAAAAAATTCATTATTTTTTCCAAGGGTGTTTTTTCTGGAAGGATAAAAGGGAAAAGGTGTTTTAGTGATTAGCAACAAACATCCCATAATTGTTATTATCAGTTGTTCACAATTTGAGATGGGGGAGGGGGCAACACAGAACCCACCTGCAATATGTGTCCCCCTCCAGTATTTCAAGATCAAACACACACTCTGGGGAAAAACCTGATCCTTCTTTAAATTCAAAAGGAGACTCTTGGATCAGAATCTTTTTTTAAAAAAATAGCAGTTTTCCTCTAAAACAGGGCATGATGGGGGAGATGTTGTTTTCCCTCTGATCAAGGCATGCTGTTCTCAAGTGCTGTCAAGTTGCTTCCAATTTATACCAAACCTACCAATGAGTGATTTCCAAACTGTCCTCCTCTGGTCAGAGAGTCTGATGCCAGACCATTACCCTAAGAGTCCTATAAACTTTATAGATTTCTAAAGCAGAGGTCTCCAAATTACGGCCCGAGGGGCACCTCTGGCCCGCCTTGCTGTTTTATCCAGCCCATTCCTTTCAGCCCATGTGCACATGGGGGTGGGTTCCTGTGTGGGCGGGCGGCAGTGCATGGGGCAGATGTACATGCACATACACACAAGTACAAGTATGTGTACATACATTCCTGTTCCTTCAGCCCTCAAAGATGTTTAAAACATCCAGAGTAGCCCTCAAGGTCAAAAGTTTGGGGACCCCTGCTCTAGAGGGAAGTCAGAAGCCTATGTTCATTACAGCTGACATTTATGTCCCCCAAAAGAGTTAGTTCCAGAATGAAATTACGGTAGATAAACCTTTCCAATCTGAAGAAAATTCTGGGTGTCAAAAGTTTTATTACTGCATTGCTTCTATGCTTCATATGCTTCTATATACTGTACTTCAGAATTGTTGTAAAAATTTAAAACGGTTACAGCTAAAGAAAAACTGTAAGCACAAATGCTTAAAGATATATGAAGACTAAACTTAAGTTGCCGGCAAACATTTATACAGTGGTGCCTCGGTTTACGATTGCCCCGCATTACGACAAAACCGCATTACGATGATGTGGCTTCATTCCAGAGTGGATGCAAAGTGCATACTGAGCACAAGACAGCAAACGAGCGTAATGGTCTCCTCAGAGAAGCTAAGCCAAAGTAACTAAATTCTCCATGCCATTTTTATATCCACATCTTGACAGGTGTGCTTCCCTGACCTTTTGAGGGAATTCCACCATCTGATTCTCAGTCATCCTGACCCTTCCAGTAGGGAGTAAATTTTTCCTAAAGTAACTTCAGTCACCCTGATACTCCCCCCCTTTTTTTTGGTTCAGCTGAAGCCAGTTTCTCTTAAAGAGAAAAGCCTTTCAGGAGCTTGGGCACAGTGCTCCCATCTGTTAACACCCAGCTGCGAATTGTCTCCCCAATTAATGGGCAGCTCTTGCCCGTCTTTTCCACTTTTCTCTGGCACAAGTCAACAGGGTTTGATAGGGCAACTGAACCTTGTTCACCCCTCTTTTGCCACTCTCTTGACAGGTGTACTTTTTAGTGATTGTTAAGTTTAATTGACATGCTATTACAATTTACAGGCTGAAATCCTGTTGCTTTAATTTATGCTACGCAACGCCGGTGACATCATCAGCCATGGCAAATTTTTGGAAATATTCCTCCTGAAAGTCCCGAGCTACCCTTGGGATCACTGTTATCATGGGAAACTGCAGGGGCCTGAGGGATTGAAGGAAACCTTTAATTTCTCAAAGTTGATACTGATGGGATAAGTCTACTGCCAGTAGTAATTTTTGGATATTAAATGATTTCCCTCCCTTCTTCCTCATCTTGCGGCCCCCAATGACCTCCCCATGATGACAGGGATCCCCTGGAAGACTCAGGGCCTTCACGGGGCAGCAAGGGGACAGAAATGGGGATTTCTGAAAAATCGTTGTGGCTGATGCCATCATCGGCCTTATGCAGCATGAGCTAAAGCAGTGGTTCTTAACCTGGACAATATCGACCCCCAGGGGGCAATTTTGTTTTTCAGGGGGCGATGGAATAAAAAGGGGTTACGTGGGGGCAAAGGAACAGAAGGGGGCAGTAGGGAGTAGATGGAGTGAGCCGCCACCACCGATGGCTGACGAGCTGCCACTTTCGTTGGTTGGTTCTTTCATTCTTTCCTCTTTGGGCGTTCAATGGGCACTGAGGCTGGCTTCGCCGGATGTGTGCATCTGTGCGCTCCCAGTCCCTTTCTCACTGTCTCCCTCCAGCTCCCACTGCTGCCCCGCTGCCACCCCCTTCCCGCTACTTCCCTACACTCCCTTTGTATGAGGACTGAGTGGCACCTGGGTGTCCCTTCCTTTATTTCTATCTGAAAAAATTTTAAACTGCATCCCAGCGTCTGGAACTCCCTGCCACTGGAGACCAGGCTGGCCCCATTCATTGCTATCCTTCCGTGACCAGGCAAAGACCTTTTTCTTCAGGCAAGTGTTCCCTCAGTAAACCAGCTACCCATGTGTGATTTCTAGATAGTTTGCTATTCATTACTATTTTGATTGATTTTTTAGTATTGCCGCGCTGCCGTCCCTTCCACCGCCGCAGCGCCACTGCCAGGAGGGGGGCGATGATAACTTGTTAAAGCACTGAGCTAAAGCAACAGGATTTCAGTCTCTGTGTTTGTTCAAGAGGCAAGATGAGGCAGCAGGTAGTGTTGGACTAGGACCCGAGAGACCTGGGTTCCGTTTCCTGGTTGGCCATGGAAACTCGCTGGGATGAGGGCAGCAGCAGTAATGACTTGGGAAGTTACTTTAAGAAATAATTGCAATGACAGGCTGTAGCAGCTGATGGGAGACTTCAGCTTTAGAACTTAGCTATTCTGATGAGCTTATTGAATCCCCTTGGCATGCTTTCTATTCAACCCTCATTTCTTGTCCATTTGTCTTTTCCGCCTCTGTGAACTGTTTCTTTTGTGTGTGTGTCTTTGCATATTTGTGTGTACGTGTGCATGCGTATGTATACCACTTATAATTTTTTCTCCTTCATCCCCTGCAGGCTTGGCATCATCAGGCTTCTCCTTGGCATCATCAGGCTTCTCCTTGGCATCTTTTTTCTTGCCTGCTGCAGATACAAAAGAATAGGTTTCCTATAAGCATTAAAATCATTATAAAATAATATTCAGTAAGGCTGCCCTTAAAATCCCCTAGAAGAAGGTACAGTGGGCAATTTGGGGCCAATTCCATCTCCCAGACCTGCCTGGCAAGAGGCTTCTTTCAAAGTCAGAAGGTGACCAGAACACCACGTCTCTCTCGGGCTCTTGGGATGGGATGGGTACAGTGCCTAGAAGTTGCCCACCCTGACCGAGAGTTTGTCTCCACCACTCTGCCAGCCTCATGACTCCGTTTTATATACCAGGTTTGTGTAAACTGTGGGAGGAAGCCTAATTGGGCTGCCCATCCCAGGCCCCACCCAAGGATGGCTTCCACATTTGGGTACCCCACAGACAACTGGGAAAGGCACTATGCTGACCAGGGCCTTTGATTTTTTTATGAGTTGATGAGCATTTTTTGCTTCAGAACTATTGTTGTTTGTTGTTGTTTAGTCGTTAAGTCATGTCCAACATTTTGTGACTGTATGGACCAGAGCACGCCAGGCCCTCCTGTTTTCCACTGCCTCTCGGAGTTGGGTCAAAGTCATATTGGTCGCTGCGATGACCCTGTCCAACTGTCTCATCCTCCGTCATCCCCTTCTCCTCTTGCCTTCACACTTTCCCATCATCAGGGTCTTTTCCAGGGGGTCTTTTCCTTCTCATGAGATGGCCAAAGGATTGGAGCCTCAGTTTCAGGATCTGTCCTTCCAGTGAGCACTCAGGGTTGATTTCCTTGCAGTCCAGGAGACTCTCAAGAGTTTCCTCTAGTACCATAATTCAAAAGCATCAATTCTTCAGCGGTCAGCCTTCTTTATGGTCCAGTTCTCATTTCAATGCATCAGTACTGGAAAAACCATAGCTTTGACTATGTGCAGCTTTGTCAGCAAGATGATGTTTCTGCTTTTTAAGATGCTGTCTAGGTTTGACATCTCTTTCCTCCCAAGAAGCACGTGTCTTTTGATTTCATGGCTGTTGTCACCATCTGCAGTGATCATATAGCCCAAGAAAGTAAAATCTGTCACTGCCTCCATACCTTTCCCTTCTGTTTGCCAGGAGGTGATGGGACCAGTGGCCATTATCTTAGTTTTTTTGATGTTTTGCTTCAGACCATTTTTGGCACTTTCCTTTTTCACCCTCATTAAGAGCGCGACTAGACATGGAACGCCATTACCTTCCCACCAATTTGGTACCTATTATCTACTCACATTTCCACGCTTTTGAACGGCTAGGTTGGCAGGAGCTGGGACAAGTGATGGGAGCTCACTCCATCATGTGGATCCAATCTTACAACTGCTGGCGTAAGCAGCGCCACCACATCCCACTCAGTTTTTCCATACTTGCTGGTATATTGAATGTAGCACCTTAACAGTGTCATCTTTTAAGATTTTAAAGCGTTCAACTGGAATACCGTCACCTCCACTGGCCTTGTTGTTAGCTGTACTTTCTAAGGCCCCCTTTACTTCACTCTCCAGGATGTCTGGCTCAAGATCAGCAACCATATTATCTTGGTTGTCCAGAACTGTAGGCTTTGACACTCCACAGAGCTGGCTCCTTTGGCTCCAAGAACTATAGCATCCCTCAGTCCTCATGACTCATTCTGAAACAGTGGAAGAATGGGATCCCTATCATACCAAGAACGGTTGAGGAGGAAGAGAGAGCGAGAGCGACAAGGTTAAGTTCTCTCATCCCTGGAAGCAACCCATGCAAGCAAGGTTTCTAACTACCATCCCTCTCTCCTGGTTTCCAGGGACTATTGGTGCTATCAGACACAGGCCTCAGCTTCTTCAAGCTACCCATGAGTTTCTGGGTAGGAACATGAAGGACTTGGGGCATGGCTGCTTTCTTTCATTGTTCCTCTTTTCCTCTGGAAGTCTTTTTAGGTGGGTGTCTGCCAGGAATGATTTTGCTGTGGACTGCAAGGGTTCGGCCCAATGACCTTTGGCATCCCGAATAGCTCTATAATTCTATGATTCTATATCTGGAAGTTGTTAAACTGGAAGGAAGTGGAGGAATGCAGGATTCACTCCTTCTTCTTTTCCTCTCTCTCATCTTTCCAGAGCTGAAAGATGCCAGAAGGGAGGTCTGGAGAGCTTCTGTAGGATTTCAGAAAAAGAATAAAAGTGGAAGCAACTTACCTCCTTTGGCTTTTTTGCGTGCCATTTTATCTTCTCAGTGTCGGCAGCTTTTCCTTCCACATTCTGTTTGAGAATGGAGGAGATGGTTCAATTGTTCAATCTGGGTGGGAGAGACCAGAGAAGTGAGAGGAGATGACCGATCTCTGTGTGGAGTGAGCCACCTCCCAAAGAATGGCAGAGGCCTGAGCCCTTCCTGGACCTTTGGCTACCTGAAGTGACTGAGAAGCCTCAGCAGTGCCACCCAAGGGCCTCGTCTCCCTCTGCTTTGTGCTTCAGTCGCCAGGCTCCCTGTCTCATCCCTCCACCTCCCTCTGATACCCCTCCCTGTACAGCCTGGTTGATGGGCACTATGTGTGTGTGTGTGGGGGGGGCAGCTGAGCAAGATGAGAGCAGTTCCCATATAGCTTAGCTAGAGCGGAGGATCAGCCATGAGCTGCCCAGCAGGGCAGGGAGTCTGTGTTTTACCTGACATCCTAAGGGAATTGTGTCACCTGAGACATTACTGTGTTTGGTGATGAAAGATAGTCCTGATTCTGACTCAGGCTGGAGAGCGGTACAGTGGGGTCTTGACTTGAGAACTTAATCCGTATTGGAAGGCGGTTCTCAAGTCAAAAAGTCTGTAGGTCAAGTCTCCATTGACCTACAGTGCATTGAAAACCGATTAATCCCATAACAGGCCGTTTTTGTTCCATTTTGGTTTTTTTCTGGTCTGTAAGTCA